CCCCAAAACCCCAAAACCCCAAAACCCCAAAACCCCATTTTTATTGTTTATTTTTGAAAATTGCAAAATGATCATCCAGAGAAAAGTGATATGGAGAAAAAGCTTGAATAATGGTAAGAAATCACATTTTTATCTAGGGTGGTCCACTAGACGATAGAGGTAAAGCCATACAAATTGAGGATCAAGAAAAAAAGAAAGTTATTGAAGAAGGAAACCAAACTAAAATACGTACGCTTTATACCCTTCAGAGTTATTTCAGTATTTATTCTAAGAGTTTTGGGTTTCCTTACTGGCTAGCCCAACCTAGCCTATATTTTTAACCTATTTAGGTCTTTGTAGTCCTCCAAAAACCACGTTACTAGAAAGCCCGATTATAAATCTCAAAACCACACATATAAACTTCACACATGAGGAGAATGATACGATCCTGGGTCACAACTCCCCTTGCTCTAGCAAGTTTGGAGGGGAAGCGAACGATTATAATGACATCCTTGACTCTCCGATGATACCTATCCAGAGGAACCAGTTAAAATTGATCAAGAATTGCTCTAGAAATTACCAAGAAATGGCCCATACTGAGTACAGCCAGACAGACCTGAGCGTAACTTCGAGAGCTGCCCCTAAAATTGGCTGAGAAATCCAACAGTACTTCTGGGTAATATTATGTAGGAGAAAAGACACCCTTAGTGCTATAAAAGACACCTCAAGGAAGGTATTAGTACAAACCCCGTTCAAAGTAAGAACCGTAGTCTGAAATTTAGGTGAAAAAGATTAAATCTGATTCAAAACCTAAAATCAAGCATCTTTATCACTCCTTGAATAAGAAATCTCACAGGTAATTTTTTGCAAAGTTTTGAGAAATTTAAAGATGATTTTTTTGCTGCTACATCTGTACAATTAGGGCACATTTAGCTTAGTTCTCAGGGAAACTCAAGCAGAATAAGCATATTTTAAGCAATTTTTAATAACATTCCTGAATTCTTCTACTAAACCAGCAATAATAGACTCTTATAGGAACCTCAAGGTAAACAGGATCCTAATTTATTAACAATATTGGTTAACCTTGAAATAAAGCAGAAGAGGTACTTCAACGCCAACAGATTCTTTCGCCAGGTTGGGGAGTATTCAACAGAAATGCGGCCGACAACTCAACCTTTGTCCAGGAACCAATCATCTCATTCACGGACAAACAAGCTGACAGTCTTTGCTGCTCCAGAAACTTTAAATGAAGACTCCTCAAATCTTAATTTTGCTCCATTAAAAATAACACATCGTAAAATTAACAGTTTGACTAAATTCAACTCTCAGTTCAGAAGAACAAAGTAGGTTTACCTGATTTCACCGTCTCTGCTTGCGGCTAGGTTACCTTGCTCAACCTTATATGCATGAGGCTTCTCCATTTGGACATATTTCCACATGATTTACCTGTAATTTTAGCCAAGACTTCAAAAGAAATACTAGAACAGCAGAGATAAAGTACCCAAAAATTATAAGTTTAGGCTTGGAGAAGCGAAGAAATCTAGAACTGGGTTCGGAATCGCAAGCGTAAAGATACTCAGAGCTAGCCCAAAGAAGGATCAGAGGGAGATTAATAGTAGAAAGAGAGATGAATCTGCTAAAGCTATGGAAAATATTACAGATATCCTTGTAAGTTATCATATCTTCATTGTTATGTAACCGATGCTTCTGTACCTGGCATTTGCAACCATGGCTAAATCTAATTACATTTTAGAAGAATACCAAGGCCCAAGCAATAAATCTATTGAAGGTAATCAATGATCGCAAGATCTCCAAGAGAAGAAAAATGGCAAGAATGAACTTTCGGAATAGCTCAAGTGAGTTTTAATCATAATTAATAGATAGCCAGAGAGCGCTTCTGGATGATTGATACCCTGGTTTGATAATAAAGCCATCTAAGCTACCGAGTGCCAATAAATAAGACACAAAGGGATGACGATATGTTCTACATCAAGTTTTAACCATCCTTTCACTAACATATAAGATTTGAGTAAAGAAGACAATATATGCCATTTATGTACAATTTATGCAATATTTTCAATCACGGTTCAGATCTAGGGGTTTTGGGGTTTTGGGGTTTTGGGGTTTTGGGG